GCATTTGCCTCCTCCAGCTCTGTACCAAGACCCCAAACTCAGCAACCGAACTCTGGGTTGAGAGACTGGAGTTGGAAATTTTGTTATTTTAGAGAAATATTTGCTTCTGAAGTATAGCGAGGTATTTTTAATTTTTTTTTAATTGAATGGGATAAAATGGATTGTCCATAGCTAAAACTTCAAATTGTTGGTGATGACATTTATGTCCTGTCTTTCATTCATATTTTCATTGAAAAACAGCATTTTCAGAATACAAATGCAGAACACCGCCTATTCTCCAGTCACTCTCTGAAAAAGAAAGCTGCTGTTCATGGGTGGGTTTTGGGACTGTGTGTTCAAGGCTCATGGCATCCCTGTCTTCAGAAGTGTTTCCTTTCAAATCATATTTTATCTTCTTCATCACTTATTCAAGGACCCTGGCTCTTGATTCCTGTCTTAACAATTGTAGTTGCTAGTAAAGTCAGACTGGGTTTGGTTTCTTTGTTTTTTTCTGAAACTTCAAAGTAGTTTTTAGTCTACTCCATCCTTCCAGAGGAGTTCCCTTCAAACTAAGGAAAAAAGGCTTGACAGAGGCTTCCAGAGCAAATCCCCTCCCTTTGCCAGCATCAGCTGGCTCTGGAACAACCCATCTGGCTTTTTCTCCTGGTATTGAATCCTCTAGAAAGTGAAAAACCCCAACATTGCCTGAACCTGGCAGTGCCCACGTCCATCTCCTGAGGGGCCATGAGTGACAGTTGCCATGTCAACTCCCCTGTACATTCTGTCTCCTCTGTGTCTGCTGAGCCTTCTTTGCCAAGAGCCAATCTTCTGCATTACTGCCTATCAAATTCCATGTCCTGAGGCAATAGAGACTCCCTTGGTTTTACTTTACAGCCATTTGATGGTCACAGGGAACAACTTGAAGTTTCAGAATGTAACTTTGTCCTTTCAGCTGAGAACAACATGCCTTTACCCTCCTCGAGCACGTTGCTGTGTGTGCTACAGCTGTGTCTCTGGCACATGGAATTAGAAATAATTGCAGGTACAGTAGAGAAGTCACGGTGAACCTGTCAGGTACTTTGAGCTTCATAAAGGCGATGGCCTGGAGCTGACTCTTCCTCTGGCTCTGGGGAATTCTTCCTCGCCAGGTGAGGGACACACACACCCAGGCTGCTTTCTGGAAAAGAACATGGTCCATTACAGCACAGCAGTTGGATCCGAGGCCATGCAGCTGCTCCCCAATGTTCCAGTTCACTGTGAATAATTTAGATGTCAGGCTTCACTACAGAAAGGCTGGTCTAGCATATTTGAAGAAGTAATTTTCAGGTCCCAAGTCAAGCATCAGCACCCTGGTAGCCCACACATGTCCCCCACTGTTTGTTCCTTCTGTCTGTCTGCAGCATGAGAATCCAATTACACTGCCTCCAAGAAAGCTCTGAGAATAAAAGCTAAAATGTTCTTTCAAGGGAATGTAGTTGAGTATCTGGCAGAGAAAATCTGTGCCCAGCACCCTCCTTCCACCTTTTTTCCCACAAAGGGATTTTTCTCAGGGAAAAAAACAAAAGCCATTGAGACTCGTAAATTTACCACATTGAGAGTGATAAATGTTATTATTTTGCCTAAAAGTCTGCCCTCAGTAAATGAAAATACTTTGTAAAAGCTGGATTATAGCTGCAATGGCTCTCATATATCAAGAGGGAGCATGCCGTGAATGATGTGAGTGGGATGGAGGAACACATAGGTGACTCTCATGTTGCTGTGGGCTGAGATCTTTCCCGCCCCAGGAGCCAAACCTTGGCTCACCTGCACAGAAAGGCATTGTGTACAGTGTGGTTTTGAATGGTTACACCTGTCTGAATTACAGAACTGCTGTATTTAATGTATTACTGGGGTATTCACTCTCTTATCACTGAATGGGGTTTATTTATTAAGTCTTATGATCAAGTCAGTGAAATGTCCTGGAAAATGCCTGTGCCTGTTCATCCCACGTTTTCTGAGTCACAAAAGCAGGGCTAGTCATTTCAAATGAAGAGGAACACAGTGTCTCAAGTGCATTAAAGCAAATATGAAAAAGGAAAAAGTTGCTGATTCATGGTTTATGAGGATTGTTCAGACTCTTATTTCTTACACACCTTTTGAGTGAAATAAAACTTCAGGGGGTTTTCTATAGCTCTTGTTGTTTCTGTTACTTATCAAACTTGTGTTTAATGTAGAAAAGGTAAATTATGAAACTCTCTAGAGCAGAGAAATCTTGCAAGAAGCTGCATGGTGCATCAAACACATTGAATTGAATTTTCCTCATTTGGACGTGACAATTTCAGCTGTTGAATTTTCATCCTTTGGACGAGGCTTAGGCACTGAAACTTCTTTGCTTCCAGCTGCTTTCAGCTCTGAATGACAAAGCAGAGACACTTTCTTTTTCAATCCAGAAATCTCATTATTGCACCAGCAGACCTTGGTTTAGGCTTTGCCAGGATCCATGTGCTCCCTGCTTCCTGTGGCCCAGCTCCCAGCTGGTAGGACAGGGGATTCTCTTGGAGGCTGGATGCTTTCCTGGGCATCAACTCTGTGTGTCCTGAGTTCAGACCCAAAACGTGGAGTAACACTTCATCTGCAGCAGCTCTCACCTCCTTTCCTGATGACATGGGAAGCCTGCATTTAGCATCAGGAGTGGAGCTTGGGGAAGGATGGATGGAGAAAATCAAGAAAAGAAGCCAAAAAAATACACAGTTGGAGTATGATAGAGTATCTGCATTAGGAAAATTTTTATGCAGTAGTTTTGGGTTTGCAGGATTTCTCGTCTGCCTTTTTGTGAAGTCTTGATATACCTCATAAATATGAAATACAGCAATCTGCAGGGATCTGTAGGGACAATTCTATTCAGTTTTTGAGCTCAATACTCCAGTCATGAAAGCGTTTTCTGTACCCTTCATGGGAGCAGACAGGGACAAGCATTTGAATAGCATCTGAGCCTATAGTAACAGCCTAGGAGAAAATCTCCATTGCTATTATGATTTGCCTCATCATTAAATTCTGTCCAGTGATGGAGATGAATCATGTGTTTAGAACTCATTTCCTTGAAATTAGCTTAAATTCAGGTGCAAGTTCAAGAAGGCTCGACCCTGGATGCTTTTACATGCTGTACAATGAATGTGACTGCTGAATTCTCTCACTTCTCTCTGTCAGGCAGGAAAAAGTCCCTGGAGGGAAGTACAGGAAAGATTCCATGAACCCACTGAGCTCAGGGACTTGTTCCCAACAACCTCCATGAGCAAAGGTGATGAACCATGGCAATGACCTGTGAAAATGCTTGAAATCTGGTGTTTTAATGTTCCCAAAGGTCTGAATATTTTATAGTATAGCTCTGATTTCTCTGGCCCCCATCAGCACTGCTCGTTAGATCACATTAGATCTGTTCAGAAGATGGATATGCATCTCAACTGACATTTCAGCAATCTGACATTTCTTTTCAAAAGAGCACCAACAAGGAAAATGCTAAATAATCTCACAAAAATGAAAATTTGCAAAAATTTGTGTCTCAAGTAGTGTCTACATGTGAAACCCAAAAATCTTCCAAAGAAATGAAGGGTGGCACAATTCACCTGGGTGATTTGGCAAAAGTACCTTTCTCCCTTGCTTTGTCTGTCTGACTGAGAGGAGCTAGCACCAAAGCATGATGAACCCCAAAGCCTGCTTTGAGCAGCTCAAAGTGCTTGCAAGTGGATGATAACTGCAGCAAGCCAGCACGTGATTGCTGAAGTGTTTGTACCTGCAGCAGAATAAATCTGTTCCACAGGAATATGGGATGAGAGTCACCCACCTCTGGCACCTGGGACATCTCACTGCTCTTGGGTTTGTCCACGTAGAGCCAATGCTGCTCTGCCCCCTCACCCTCCTGATGCACAGCAGGGAAAAGGCAGGGAGCATGGCCAAGGGGCCATACAGCAAAGGAGCCCAGGGATGGAGCCCTGTGTGTTCCTGCAGCCTCTGCCAGGCTGCTGCAGAGATGCCGGCGGGTGTCTGAACGCCCCGGGGCTCAGAGCAGAGGGGAATGCAGAGAGTGCAGCCGACCATCCTGGCTGCCCCCGTGCATGCTGGGCTGCTGCTCTTATTGTCAGACTGCATTTCACTTTTCACTCTGTTCTTTGCACCATATGAGAGCAGGAAGGGGCTGGGGCCAAGCACTAAGCCCTCAGATGTTTTCTGCTAAAACTTTGGGATGAACAGAAATAGAGATGCCACAAAGTAGTGAAGATGCTTCACTCCCACGTAGCTGTTGTGCTGAGTGTCCAGAGAAGAGCAGAGAGCAGACAGGGAGATCATAGCACATCCACCCTCCATCTGCGTTTTGCTGCTCTCTGGATCTGCACATGTCAGGCTGTGCTGTTGCCCACGTGTGGGTTGTGATACACCTCAGGAGAAACTGGGAAGAGATCTGCCATTGGCTCCTTCCTGTGCAGTGTGTCATCTGGCAGCTGTGTATATCACAGGGAACACAGGGACCATTCTGCTGCTGAGCAAATTTGCTTCACTGAGTAGTCAGAGATACTTGGAGAGGGAAAAGCAAAGCAGAAGGCAGCCCTTGCTTTTTTTGTTTCTGCCAGGCTCCGAAAACTCTTGGGAAACCTGATGGATTAAGGACTGTGTGGAGAATCAGCAAAGCAGATTTCCAAGCATAAGTTGCAGATTGAAGAAGAACAGTGCCCAAAAGGAAATATTCACTAAGATTTCTTCCTTGGTGCAGAGAGAAAGTGTTTGGAGATCTCTGATATTTCAGCTTCTCTCTGGGGGACATATGGGACTTAAGAAGGACAGCCGACAGGGAGCCTCTGAGGTGAAGCTGATGTGTCCCCAGCACAGGCAGAAGGACCCATTTATCAACCCTTTTCTCTAGTTTGCAACCATGGGACAGACTTTTAAAATGCAAGTGTGTGTGTTCCCTCCTGCAACCACTGGCTTTAGCAGCTGAGCTGGCAGAAGGTGCTGACGAGTGTGTGGCTGGACCAGGGCTCTGCTGCCCCAGCCATGAGACACACCTGGTTCCCCTTGCAGTACATGCCCAAGCCCTTCTGGAGAGCAGAGAACCACAACACGAGCAGCTTCTTCTCTGCACTGTACGGCTTCCCTAACCAGTCCTTCTTCCACAGTGACTTGAACCTGGAGGACCTGGGGGACTTTGATAGCGGAGCCAAGTACGAGGGCGAGTCCCAGAGCCGGACAGTGAAGGCGCTGCTGATTGTCGCCTACTCCGTGATCATCTGCATCTCACTCTTCGGCAACATCCTTGTGTGCCACGTGGTCATCAAGAACAAGAGGATGCACTCAGCCACCAACCTGTTCATTGTCAATCTGGCCATTGCTGACGTGATGATCACCACCCTGAACACCCCCTTCACACTGGTGAGCCCTGTCCAGCCGTGCCTGCTGGTGTCTGTGTGTGCCTGTCAGCTGTGTGCACTAGGATTGAACGGGCTGGGACCAGGCTGCTATCCAGAGGTGCTTTTGCCCCCCTTCCCCTTTTGCCATCTGGAGAGGGTGCAGTCATAGCCCCCATCCCAAACACCCCCCGAGCAGGTGGAGCTGGGGGTTCATGCCCCCACCTTGCAGTCCATTGCAGGGGTCACTCGGCTGCAGCTTCCCCTCTCTGCCTGGGCAAGGCACAGATCTGGGAGCACTTTTTACCTGTAAATGGGGAAAGAAGTGGGGACAAGTTGACACAAGAAAATCCAACTAATGGCTGGTTTCCTATGGAAACCACATGAACCAGGTCAGTCCCTGTGCAACATCTCAGGGAAGTGCTCAGGCTTCACTTAACAGTGTCGGTGGCATGTCCCTCCCTCAGCCACTACAGACAGTGCTTCCTGGGGCTAATCTTATTTTTTTTTTTTCCAGTGACTAAAAATATATATTATATGAAAGAGCATTAAATGAATGAGTTGGGAAAAAAATAAAGATTAATTTCTTGCCCCACTGTCACAGACTATAAATGCCGTGTAAACAGGACTCTGCTCCTGGATTTGACCCAGCACTCCTGCTCAAAATCCTCCTGCTTCATCCCTGCCCAGAGTGCTCTTCTGCCTTCCAAAACCAGGTCTTGAATTAGCTATTTCAATTCACCCTTTCTTAAACTGATGCTGCTTCTTTGGTGGGATTTCCCTGCCTTGCTGTGATGGGATTTACATCCTGTAATTTGTTCAGGGAGAGCCTGGTGCCCTCTTGTGTGTTCACCCACCAACAGCCACACACTAGGCATGTGTAATTTAATTTTTATCAGCTCTCTCAGGAATGAGCTTTACAGCAGCTCCAGAGATCCAGCACACTGCTCCAGTTTGGTGACAGTCAGTGCTGCAAGAGTCACCCCTACAGGGAAATTAACTAGATTAATTGAAAACAGATTAGCTAGTCTTGACTAATTTTCTGTGGACAGATGCTTTGTAGTAAATACACTTTACTTCAAATTAGCCTAATCCGCACCAAAATGAGTGACATTAATTTGTAATTAATATTACACAGTCAGGAGTAACAAGGGAGTGAGTCAATTAGGCACATTCTTCTCTGGAGGGAAGCCATCATCAGTAACACCTCTCTGGGAACAGGTGAGAAGGATTCCATGGATTTGACTCAGTAAGTTTGGAGACCATGCAGCTTTAAGCATCCACATGCCATGGGAGGCACCTAGTGTGCCCTGTAGAGCCTCGTTGAGAAGCAGAGCTAAGATTTCTTTATGTGTTCCAGAAGGGGCATAGTAAATGTACAAATGTACACATGTACACATGTACACAACATACACAGAGCACTGCTCAAGCCATTGGTTTGCACAGTGCAGTAAATCTCACCTCAGTTTGAGACCCTCTGGCACTGTTTCCCAAGGAAAAAACTGAGGATAAAGCCTCCAAAAACCTCAGGAAGCTGTATTAAAGCATTTCTTCTGTACTGTGCAACTGGGAAGCCAATTTGCTTCTCTTCAGGTACTACGCCTCTGAATCTGATGTTGTCTGTTCTTCAGGTGAGGTTTGTGAGCAGCACCTGGGTTTTTGGAAAGCTGATGTGTCACATCAGCCGGTTTGTTCAGTACTGCTCTGTCCACGTGTCTGTGCTGACCCTTGCTGCCATTGCACTGGACCGGCACCAGGTATGTTGAAGACATATGTTTGCTAGAAAATAATGTGCTAAATACATAGTTGTTTCCTCTTCAAATCCCAGTACCTGGAAATCTGCACTGTCTTGAGACTCAGGAAACAGAGAGGAGAACTCCAGCTTTTGTCGCAGTGGACAAAACATCCATGTTTTTTACAGTGAGGGTGATGAAATACTGCAACAGGCTGTCCAGAGAGGTTGTGGTTAGTGGGAGTCTCTGTCTTTGGAGATATTGAAAACCTCAGGAGATCAGTGCCAGACAGCCTGGTCCAGCCCTGCTCTGCCTGGGCCATTGGGCTCGTGGGCTCCCTGCCCTTCTCAGCCCTGCCTCAGAGCACAGCCCCACCAGCAGGGTGGGGATAAGTGCTGAATTCAAACATCAGCCACCTCACACCTTCTCTCCACACAAATTTATGAGAGTCTGTCAGTTCTGACACTTGCCCCATTCTTCGCCTAAGGCTGGAAACAATAAGAACAATGTTAAGTCATCCAGTTCAAGGTAAGAAATTCTCTCCTCTAGTCCTAATACTTACCAGCCAGGAAAACCTTTCAGGTCAAGCAATGAGTACAGACTGAAGGGTTTCCTTAAGTGAAACAGAGTTTGTAATTTGTTCTGTAGCTGATGAGTGCTGAGTGCTGGGAGGCCACATCCCAAACAAGGGGTGAGCTCTCGGGCACACTGGATTTCTTGCAGTGCTGGAGTCACTGAAATAGTTGCTACAGAAAAGCAACTTCATGTGATAAATGCCATGACTGGATGAAATTCAAAACAAGAACTAGCTCCATCTGGTGTTAGAGAATCACAGGGACTGCCGCAGCATAGATCAGCCACTTTTGTCTTTTTTACCACAAGGAGTTTTGACAGTCTGCCCATTTCATGTGCGATATTGCAGCTCCTGAAATCAAAGCACTTTGACAGTGATTCATTTTAATCAGTAGATTCTGGGTTGATTGCAAGGCATGGCTAGGTATCAAGAAGTGCTTGTTTAATTAAGGGCAAGCAATACATGCCCTTAAATTCAGTAGAGTGGGTTCCTCAGGGCTGGAATGAGCTAGTATGGCCCAAGGAGATAAAGACAGAAATGAGATGTCCTGGACAAAAGAGAAACCAACACTTGCCTCTAAAAATATTGCTAATCCTGAGAAGTACCACAGCAGACAGACACTCCGGGGGAGTTGTACAACTTGATTAAGTAGGTATTTATAATGGGACTAGAAATGACATGCATAAAATACTGAAGACTTCATCAGCCAAGTGATCATCTGGATAACATGACAGGTCTATTTTTAATTATTGTTTCATTGCCTAAGGTAATCCTCCATATATATAGTGCATAGAGCTCAACAGAAATCTCACCACTGTGGTCTCTGGAGTCCTGCTGAAGGGTCACACAGAATGTGTTTCTCTGCTCAGGCTCTAGGCCAGCAGTAACACCCAATACGTGCACAACTCCATGCATTTCCCAGCCCTCATGCTCCCTAAGACCTGTCAAGTGTGTCTCTCTGTCTTTTAACACTGAAGAGATGTGGAGCTGCTGCTGCATGTCCCATGCAACATGGGGCTCAAAGAGTGACCAGACTCTGTAAATCCTCAGGACTCCTTGTTCTCTGCAGGTGATCATGCACCCCCTCAAGCCACGCATGTCCATGGTGAAAGGAGGGATTTGCATCATCATCATCTGGGTTATGGCCAGCTGCTTCTCACTGCCTCACGCCATTTATCAGACTCTGACAAGGTTTTATATTGGGTAAGACATTTATATATCTTTTGTTGTATGACGTTTTCAAAGACCCAGATAAGCCAAGGCCACACTCCTCCTTCCATGTTATTAGAGCAGAAAAGGTGGTGAAACAGAGAAGTTTTCATTCCCTTCGCATGGGTGCTGTGTCTGTCACAAAGGGACAATGGCAATCGATGGAATTGCTTCCAGGCTGGTTCATTAGTTGTTTTAGGCTCAGAGATTCAACCATGTAATTTGAGGCAGGGAGAGGGCCTCCTTGTCAGCAGATGACACAGATGTCAATATGGGTGATTTCTTTCTTTTCCTATAAATGTGTTTAAGATAACTGTCATTGGAGACTGAAATAAATAAGGGCAAGGAGACCAGCTCCTTTTTAGGGCCTTTATTGAAAAATCAGCTCTGGGTGGGGCCCTGAGAGATTGCACACACTACCTCTGCTACCAATAGGCAGTCCAGAGGAGAAGGAATTCAGATTTGCTGTGCAGCAGAGCTGGGGCTTCTGTCCTCACAAGAGTCCCCAAGAAGATGCTGGCTGCTTTGTAGTCTAGGGATGTTATGTTGACCGGATACTGTTGGGTCATGGTGATAAGGCAAAAAAGCCCTGGTTGGTGATTTCATTTTCTCCACTGTTTTCCCTACCTGGGAGTACCATTTTTAGTCTTGGATGTTATATTGGCTCGTTGTTTTTAGGGTTTTTTATTACCATATCGTGTCCCAAGAGCACTTGCTGTTCCCCTCTTTGCCGGGCGCCATTTTGGGAGCAGCGAAGGCATTACCCGACGGGAGGGAAAGGGCAGAGGGGTAGGGCAATTCCAGTAATTGGGAACCAGAACAGAATGAGGCCGGTAATTTAACATTAACAATTAACATGAAAACAGGGTGTTTTCCACAGTCAACAGAACAAACTTAGGAACTTGTTCCTAACAGAGACAAAGGTCAAACCTAGAGTAAAATTTTCCATTGAAAGTGGCACCTGCCCATGACACCAAATGAGTTCTGCTACTTGTACCTGTACTGAAACTTGTCTGAATGTCTGAGCTGTTTGTTGTCAGATGTGTGCAGCTGGTAGTGGAATTGAGAGCTCTTTCTCTTTGATCTTCAGAAACAAAACCATCCGAATGGTCTGCCTTCCCAGCTTCCCTCCTCCTGCTGATCTTTTCTGGAAGTATTTGGACCTGACTACATTTGTTCTCTTGTATGTTCTGCCTTTGCTTGTGATCTCCATCACATACACCATAGTGGCCAAAAAGCTCTGGCTGAGGAATGCCATTGGGGACCTCACCATGGAGCAATACTATGCCCATCAGCGGAAGAAGAAGATGACGCTGAAGATGCTGATGGTGGTGGTGGTTGTGTTTGCCGTGTGCTGGTTTCCCCTGAACTGCTACGTGGTGCTGATCTCCTGCAGGGCCATCCACAGCAGCAACGCTCTGTACTTTGCTTTTCACTGGTTCGCCATGAGCAGCACCTGCTACAACCCCTTCATCTACTGCTGGCTGAACGAGAGCTTCCGCACGGAGCTGCGCTCCCTGCTGTGCGTGTGCCGGCGCAGGAGCACGGCTCAGGGCCACGCCCTGCAGCCCATCTCCCCGCTCTTCCGGCATGCCAAGGCTGAGAACTGCCGCTATGAGAGAAGCAGCACATGCCACAAGGCACAGACAGCCTCCCAGAGGAACTTTGCAAGGACAGACATATCGAGTGTGCAGCCGATTGTGGCAGAAAGCTGAGCCTTCATCTGACAGCTGGGCGGCGTCGTGCAGGGATTGCATCACGGGGAATCACGGGGAAAATGGGTTTGGAAAGGCCTCTGGAGACCATCAAGTCAACCTTCTGCCCGCAGAACACAAACTTCAACCTTTGACTGGGTCATTCAGGACCTTGTTCTCTCAGGTATCAAAATTCTGTAGGGATGAATTGCCCGCTTGTGGGATCCAGAATGAGGGATGTTGAGTGAATTTTTCATTGAAACAGTCAGCAAAAAAGAAAATAATTATTTAACTGCACACAAAGTCTTTCCTGGTCTAAGCAAATATGGGGAAGCTATACTTGTTATACACACAGCAGCTACTCTCTGGCTTGATGTAAAGTTGTTAGGGCTTTAACTTTGTGAATTGACTTTTTTTGGCATAAAATCTAAATTATTTTCACTTTCAATAGTATTTTATTTTTTACTAGTCCTCAAGAACTGTGTTCTTTGTGGCTTTCCTGCCAGCCTGATAGCCCTTCCCCACTGGGTCAGCCTATCTCCCTGTAGTTATCCTATGGGCAGCAGCAGCAGCAACCTTTTGGCAGCTGTGGAACTTGGGGTTCTGCCTTTGAGATGGGACCAGCATTGTGTTGGTTCCATCACAATGGAACAAACCAGACCTGCAGGTTTTCAACCCAACAGGCAGGAGATGGAAGAAGTTTAAGAAACCTGTAACATTCCCTGCTCAGTTAAACTGAGCATCTCACAATATACCACAGCATTTGACTCAAGCACGGATCCTTGTGTTCCAGCTACACCACTGGTGGCAGGGTGCACCAGCATTGCTGGTCCTGGTGCCTCTGGAATGAAAAAGATAGCTGGGATTCCTGGAGACTGTGTGCCTGACAGCTGGCACCAGCAGCTGCTGCTCTGGGGGCTCGCAGTGGAGCCAGCCACCACGTCTCAGAGCTGCATTTGGGTCACTAGTGAGAAATACCCAGTGGGAGCACATGGCCAACTTCAGCCTATGGCTATGAAAAGTCATCAAAGTTGTGTTTTCCTCTTTCTCAGAAAGAATAACCAGCTTCTTCGTGTCCATTCTGCACTAGCTTAGCCTTTGTGATGGTAAAGGTTTAAGCTTCAAAAGACAGTGAAAAGGAAATGAACTTCAGTCTTCCCATGCAAATTACTCTAAATTACACCTCTATAGCTGAGCATTTCCACCCAGACTAGCAGCATGTCACAGCTGCAGACCTGCATGAAAGGCTGCTTAAATTTGGAAATCAAGATGCTTTGGTGGGTACAAAAATATGTGATTCGAGAATGTATCTGTATTTCAAAAAGAAACTGTGAAGGGGAGGAAAGAGTAAGAGCAACACTGATCTTGCTTTTTCCTAAGTTATTGTGGGAAGGAGGAGGACAACAGCAGCTAGGACAGGGACAGGGACTGGGACAGGGACCTGGAATGGCTTGGGACACTGCAAATCCCAGTGGCATTGACAGTACTAAGGCTTCTGTGCTCCCATCTGAGGCACAGTGATCTCTTTTCCTTCACATCTGCAGGAATTACACTGCTGAGGATATACTATGGGGAGGAAATGGAATTAGAAACATCTCTTCAGAGAGCAAATACCCAAGGCTCAGGTATTGGCTCTGACCAGGTGAGCCTTCAATTGGTTTCCACTGGAGTGGAGTCCTGCCTGGAATTGGCACCAAAGAGGCAGTACCAAAACATTTAATTCTGAGTTACAAGTAAATTACAGCATAAACCAGACATTACTCCTAAGCTGAGTGTTTTGCTGTCTGGAAAACTGAGAATCCATGACACTACAAATAGCATTTCCCTACTATTACTGTCTGGAGGTTTCTATAAACAAGATGTCTCTTCTTTAAAAACCAAACCAATCACAAATGCAAATAAACATTGTTACTGTAACTTAATAAAACTTATTCTCCTTCAAATGCTCTTCTCTTTACATTAGAAAAAATCAATTAGATTAAATAATGCAGTTTGCATGTATATCCCAACCCACTCCCGGAGAACTGTCAAACTCCTTACTCTGTGCTAAATAAATCAATCTATTCTTGCCCCTCATCCTTCAGCATGCTGGCTCAGCATCCCTCAGTCCTGTGTGAAGGGATGGACGGTGCAAAGGTTAAACCCACATGCTGCCTGTCTGACCGTGGCAGTAGGCAGACAGCCCTCACCTGGCAACAGCTCTCCCAAGGACAGTTTGCTCCCAGATGAAAAGTGACATTGTTGCCTCATAGCACATCCCATGCTGATGCTTGCACAGCGCCTTCCTCAGTAGGAGTCTGAAGTCTGGCAATGTTGAGCTGCCTTAAAAAACTTTGTTTCTTTGAGGTGATCGTTTTTGTAAAAGACTGGCAAACTTCCCCCTGATTACACACAACCTCCCACCCGATGCTCTTGCTTTAGTATGCGCTCTGTTAAAATATCTGTGTGGTTGTGATACAGTGAGATTTGATCCACCCATGTTCTTTGGGGGCTAACAGTCAAATAAAATACTGGTTCAGCACCCTGTCTCTCCTCTGGGTTTTGTGTAACTTTTGAGTTACGAAAAGGAGAGGATATTCTCTCTTACAAGAGAATTAGAAAGAAAGCATAGACTGCTGCTTGTGACAGACATAAACCCATGACCAAAACTTTCGTCTCCATGTGTTTTGACTTCTTCCAGCATGAAAAGCCCTTCACACAAAGAAGTGCTGTGGTTACCCTGGTGGAGAGTCAGCCATGGATGTGCCCTGACTGCAAATGTTGTTCCACTGCCACGCACTTCCCTGCAGCTCGTGCAGTCAATGGCTGGTCCCACCAGCACTCTTTGCCTGGCACCTTGGTCCAGGCAGGAGCATGGGATACTTTGAGGTCTCCTTGAATTTAATTGTTATTCTCTAATAAACACTTCCATGAAGAGAAGCACAGCCTGATCGATTCCTTGTGCATTTCTCCCTGGTGCTCCTGCTGATGCTCAGGCATAAACTGGCTCCCTTCCCCTTGCTGGGGAACTTGTGCTCTCCCTCACCTGACCCCAAGCAAACAGGGCAGGAACTGCGCACAGCAAATCTGCTACTGCTCTGCCACATGTGCAAACTGGTCATCAAAGTCAGGTTTGTTTGGAAGGGGCTGCTCAGTAGCAACATGTGCACTCTGACTGTGCCAGACCCAGGCTCACTGGGCAAAGCTGCAAGTAGGGCAGCAAGAGCTCAGGCAGGTAACTGGTCACCAGAGATAGCACATCAATTTCCAGCTACACATCTACTGAAAAACAGCAGTATGCCAAATACAGAATCCTGCAGCTACATTAAAATAACCCTTTAGTATTCAGAGTGTTAAAATCAGGTAACTACACCAAAAGAAGAAAATATTTTATTGCCCTCTCTGAAGAGCTGTTTCTTATCTCTCCTTTTGAAGAAACTTTCCAAGCAGAATAATGAACCTGCAGCTGTGAATCATTTAACCAGCCCTGATGAGCTTTGTGCAGCTCCAAAGAGGGCTCACAGGCTTTTTGAGTCACTTCTGAGTGATTACAATGGAAGCTTTTAACTAGGTTCACTTCAACATCACCCAAAGCACTGTAGCACCCTCCAAATCCAGATCAAATTGCTTCAGTTTGAAAAATGAGGAGATTAGGAATGTATAAGTCAGAGGAGTGGGAAAGACATCCCTCCATGGAGGGTTCTTCTTGCTGTGGCTTTAACTGTGGTAAGAAGACACCTGAGGGTTCACTCATAGAGTGCTCTGCCCCCTAACGCAGTGTTGAACATGCCAGAGGGGTCACCTGAACTGATCCTCGATTTGGATTGTTGCTATTGCCCAGGAGCCCAGTGCTTATTGTGCGGGAAGTAAGCTTGCCAGTGAAGTAATTATTAGCTAGCTGAATAACTATTAAGCCGGTAAAACCAAATTACTTGGTCTGACACTTTGCTGCTACTTGTGGACTTTGGCCTTTTAAAAAATTTTGATCCCTGACTCAGGTACAGGAATTTCTTCTTCTTGATGATTTTTTTTTCCATACAAGAGAAGTGTTAAGTCACACAGTGCTATTGTTTGCACAGAGATTGGTACTTCAGGTGAAGAAGAATGAGCCTGGTCTCCCACACATCAAAATGAGAAGACACTCTTTTTTTCCACAGGAGGACAAAATTCAGCTTTCTCAGAAGGAAAAATCCTCTTCTGTGGCATCTGCACTGCACAGGACCATTACATGATCCTGAATTCATTTTCGTTTTTAATATTCCTCTGTCATTATGTGGACAAGAGTAAGTGGGGTTTATACTGACATTCACCTCACACAGACTTTACAGCTCACCCATGTAAAGGGTCTCCCAGGATGTGTGTGGGCAAGGGGCTGGGTGTGAGTGGCTGCCACCAAGAGATGGGAGAGAGACTTCAAGCACAGGGACACTGCAGGAGCAGGATGGAGCCCGGAGGGGACTGAGCTGCTGGTGGCTTTTGGGAAGGCTGAAGACCCCGAGGGTGGCACATGACACAGGCTGTGTCCTGTTCCATATCTCACCCACTGTAAATCCAAGACTTAGAGAGAGGAGTCTATTTTTCAGCTGGAATGTATCACACTGAGGTCCTGTCATTGCTGAAGGTCTTGTGATTCTTTATAAGATCTGCATTGCCAACAGGGCTTTATACAGGTACTTGATACACCTGCGCTGGCTCAGCTCTTTCACCTCTGCCTGCCTGTGAAATGCAGGGATTGATGTCTCCAGTGGTTTTTTTTTTATTCCTGGAGGTTTGCTGTGCAATGTCCCAGAATGTGAGGTGTGAAACTGGCTTCTCACAGGATAAAGTGCCGCCACCTCTGCCCACTCAAACACGCCGTAACCGGGATGTATCCTGTGGATATATCCCAGCTGCTCCCGTGCCGAAGGAAGTTTTGATTTCAATAAGCAGGAAAATACACACGAGTCTCACGGCCACAAGCGCTCCCGGGGAGCCCAGAGCTGAGGTGCCGGTATCTAACAGGCGCTGCCGACCGAGAGCCGCCGGGAAGCGCCACAACAGCGTCGTTAAATGGAGAAAGTGACCCG